ATTGAGTGAATGGTCTATTCATGGATGTGGAAAAATTGCAAATTTTATAAATTGTATCCCCCCTAGTATTTTATCGACATTCATATTGGTATATTACATAATAAACCCAGAGACAACTTCAAATTACCTAACCACAATTTTGACAGTATTTTAATGACATTGAATTTTTGACTGCATGTGTTTGTTTTTGTGTTTATCTATTTGTATTGCATTATATAAATTAAATTCGTTAGAAACTTAAGTTAACATGTAAGCATTTCAAACACAATTTTTATTGTTACTGAATAAATAAATAAAAAAATAAATAAATATTACGTCATAGCCTATTAAAAAAAAATTGTTAGTCGAAATCGTGTTCTAAAACCACTCCAAAAGTCTAAAAAAATGCACCCAGTTTGAGGGTGCATTTTTTCAGGGGTTTTCGTAATCTAATAAAGGTTTTTTCAGAAAATATGAAAGAATATTAGAAAAAATCTGTTTAGGTATAGCTTTAACAGAATAATGACAATAAAGTCTGCATCTATATACACATAATTATAACGGTACCAAGTTTCCAGGAACAGTCAGTTCCAGTTACAGGTATGCTTACTTGTTCTGTTAGAGATATTTGTATACACTCCTAATCCATCTGAATAACTTACAAAGTATCCCTCGCCTACTTTTGCAGTTCCTTCTTAAACACTTTTCTTTTAGGAAACTTTCCCATCTGGACTCATCCCAGGGGTTCGTGGCTAAGTGGTGACCATGCAGTTTAACCATAGATTGTAGGTCCCCATCCATAGATTGTAGGTCAGTCTATGGATGGATCTATTCTTACCACATTGAGGCCCCTCCGTGACTCGGAGAGCACGTTTAGCCATCGGCCCCGGTTGCCATACGAACATTTGTGGAATGGTATCGATTAGTTGGAGGGAGAAAAGTGCAACAACAGTCTACCTACAGAACTTCGATATCGCCTAGTACTTGGGTTGTTTAGGTCTGATGACAGGGGCTCTAAGTAAATCAAATAAATCGAAGTTCAGCCATGCTGTAGTATAATCAAAGCTGACCCCAACATAGTTGGGGCGATGTTCAGAGAATAATTATACTTTTCCCATCTTATTCCAGAAGTTAAAGTTGACGACACAGCCCTCTATCAGATAAGTAAGACCAAAATTATAGTTACAAAGTTATCGTCTGCGGTATTTCTGGACTGATACGACCTTAAACCTTCAAGAAAAGAATGTACCTACTCGTTCCTAAAAGGCTGTTGCGGGCGTTCATGAGCGGAGGTGGTCACTTTCCATCAGGTGACCCGTATAATCACTTGCCGCCTCTTCCATAAAAAAGTTAACAAAATACAGGCGTTTACAATACCTCTATCTACCCCTTCGGGAATACAGACTTGTAAATATGTAAATGTAAATAAATATGACAATCATTTGGTATATCCACCCCCTAATTTATATTTGCATCACAATGTTTGGTAATTATAATAAATGGGCATTTTACACTCGCTCGTGTTATGCCATTTCAATTTGCCGAGTCATAAATTTATTTAGCTAAACACAGATTGAGTCAGCTAAATACATCGACTGTTATCAATTTATTAATTATTCTACGTTAAATATTTATCGTATCTATCGGTATCGGTGTTCTGGTGGATTAGTATATCGATTAAATTCGATGATTCGATTTTAATTTATTCGGAAGCATGTGTTGCAATTTCACAAATTACCGCCAGATTTAAGGTGAAAATATACTAATAATAATATATATACGCGTTATTATCTGCAGTATTTCCGGACCGATACGACCTTCAAACCTTCAAGAAATGAGCGTACTTCTTCCTAACAGGCCGGCGACGTGTTTGTGACTCCTGAGTTGCAGGCGTTCCTGGGCGGCGATAGTCACTTTCCATCAGGTGACCCGCCTGCTCGTTTGCCCCCTCTAACATAAAAAAAAACTTTCCTTAAATGCAATGATATTTTGGAAATATGCACTTATCATTGAAAGGAAAATGATAAAAATGAGTATGAAAGAAAGACAAAATGTAAGAAAGAAATGGTATACACAAAGATTTGAATGCTTTTTTATTATTTTCAATTATGTATACAACTTTTCCATACTTAAATTCACTTCATACGGCTACTTAGTACAACGTTAAGCATAGCCTTACTATTTTCCCGAATTCTTATTACATATTAGGGTGTCTAGCACAGCGTTATTTATTTAAAGTCGACGCAATGGGTTTTCTTCCTCTTCTTTAACGTCCCACAAATATTATAATTAAAAACTTTACGTTAAATTCGCAAACCGCTTCCTTTGTTATAGCACTAAGTACCTCTAAAGACCACCACATAACTTTGATACTAAAACACCTTCCTAAATTAATTCGGATGGAAACTTCCTCGTCTTAATCTGGAAGTTTCTGCAGTTGTTGCATTGCAAACATAAACTGTATCTGTTTTTATTTCATCACTGGTCCAAAATTGTAACACTCAGATTGTTTTATTCCTACCCTTTTATTTTAGGTTTAATATTTAAGTACTACTTGAAACGGCTTTTGACTTAAGATTAACTTAAATATTCAAAGGTTTTGTGTTTGTTTACCGTTGTATTTTAAGTGAATCTGTGCTTGAGCTATAAGATTATCAAAGTTAGGATTTGATGATAGGAAAGTTATTTAGAATGAATTGAAAAATAGGGCAATTCACTCTTTCTTATAATATAGTGTTTTCCTCCTCCCCAGAATGACGGGCAGGGGGGAGGTTGGCCTCCCGTAACATCATTTTTTCGGTAAAAAACAACGAAAGAACTGATAAACACCGGTTTTCTGTAAGAACGTGGTATCACTCCCGTCGAGTAGGCCCATTTGTGCCGAAGCATGTACGAACCGACTGAAAATATATTTGGAAAGTGAATTTTAGAGGTGATTATCGCTCGACGCGTTTGTGGTCTTGATAGGGTTTTCAGAGAAGATATAACATTATCGCTAATAGGTTTTAACTGACCGTGATAATGGAAGCCCTATAACATCAATATAATTATATTTTACAGTAATGTGGGCTGATGATCTTCATAGTTCATAATCAAGGTTTATAGGTTGGATGAAAAATCTGTGGACTATTATAACCAATAAATTTTCTACTTGCCTTGTCTTGTAAATTTTTGCTAATACTGAACTGTCCTGTTTAATTTGAAGTTAATAGAAAATGTATAACTAACCCTTACTTTTAATAGCGAATTTTTATATTTATTTAACATTACAACTCAAAACAGAATTTTTACTCTCAAAATTTCCAAAATTTTGCTTGTGATCATTAGTAATTTTCATAGAAAAGTACACTTTCAAGGTTTTCCCAAATATTTTTCCGAGAACATTAAAAAAATTAGATTAATAAACTCGAAACTCCATAATATACAAATGTAAAACATTCCTTACCAGAGTTAGGCTACAAAATGCTAAAACTCTTTTTTTGTAAAGATAAAAAGGAGCAAAAAAGATTTTAAAAAATGTACCGAAGGCCCATTAAAATTGCAAGAAACAGGTCTAGGCTGTAACTAAGATTAGAAATAAGGGATTAATTCTCATAAGACAGAAGTTTCAGGGCAGGAGTATGGCGCCATACTTGACATACCTCATTTTATTACACATCTGCTTAAGTATCGAGCGGTAGCGGTCACAGATTTGGTATTGTTTTTATTTATGGTATGGAGAACAATGGTGTACTTCCGCTGTTCATGGACATCTGTAACTCAATAAATACTATGAAATCCTCCTACCGAAGGCTATGGTTCACTCCGGTTGAGCCGCCATATTAGTCACTCCGGTCGAGCCGCCATATTTGTGTCAAAGTATATCTCCCCACAGGCTTGAGGTGGCAGTGGGCTGGCTATATAAGCCGCAGAACCGACAACCAGTTCAAGAGTCGAGACCGCGTCTCGGCAAACGCAGTGTAGGACGCCTACAGGCGTAGGCTCACAAGTGAGGTTGTTTTGTAACTTCAACGTAACTACGTTGAAGTTACAAAACAACCTCACTTGTGACTCTTAAGCTGGTTTTTCTACTGGCTGAGTTTTGGTAGTCAGTTTCCATCAGGAGACCCATTTGCACTTTCCTCCACCTCCTCCATAACATACAAAAATAAAATGAAAATTAATTATATCCGTTAAATTAATAGATATGTTTTCATTATATGAAATTTTCTTTAACGGAATGTACTCGCTAATCGCTCATTACTCAAACCACACGCGTTTGAATAAAAGATCGGCCACGTTCCTCACGTAGCTTCAACGACCTCCAATTCAGCTGCCTACAGACGTGAAATAGGTTGTTGCACCCGTTAACTAGTTCAACTCCCGGGTGACGCACTTCGGTATGTAATCGCCATATTCATATATGAGTTATTGAGACTCGGGTCGGATTATGAGAGCTTTGACTTCCCCTCTCAACGGATGAAACCTGAACTGTGATCCGCTTCTCTCAATAACATGTATGTCTTAAACTTTCAGATAAATAAGGAGCAATTTTTTTAAATGAATATACTTATAGGAATTTATTTAATTAGGATATGTATAATCGAATAGTTTCCTTTTGCAAGAATATTGTTTTATTTTTTAATGAGTCAATACGATATTAAAATTTAAAATCCATACTTAAATTTTAAATGTGAAAATGGTTTTTTGGTATGTTCGTTACGCTTTCCCGCCTAAAAAACTAAACTCATTCAAAAAATTCTGACAAAAATGGAAAGCTACATCACTTTATTTTAATTTATACTTTATGAATTTATAAACGTGTTAAAGGTGGACCTTCAAACATTGCAGATGCACAGAAACTAAAGAAGAGATTTTATGAAAAATATAGCATAAAATATTTATTATTTATTTAATAATGTATTAATTATTTATTAATGTATGAAAACCCAGAGTACTCATATACAAGGTCCATAAAGTCAGAAAGAACAGAAAAAGGTAAAAAAAATATTTTGCCATCTATTTAAAAAAATATAGACACGATGTTTGAGATGACTGGCATTGAAACTTTTGAAATTTGTATGAATTAGTGAGTTATGACGTCATACCTCACTATTACCAAAATATTTAATAAAAATAATAATAATAGTGACCAGTAAATAGGAATTTTTCAGTTTTATGAAATTCTTAGATTCTTGAAAACTGGTGAGGACTGTTATACTTTTTAAATTTACTTAATTGTAGAAAACTACCCTATTTCATGAAACTTTTTGTATAAAACTGAGTTTCAATTTTTAACATTTGCCATAAAGATATAGATTCAACGTATGGCAGCTGTCAACTCTACTTTTTTTTGGTAGATTTTAAATTTATAAAAAAAGTGGAATTTGAAATTCGAATTTTGTAATCTCATAGTTTTATGTATTAATGTTTTATTTGATCAATTTTATAATAAACTGAAGCATTAATACTTAAGTTGATAGTAATCTTATAGAAATTGATTATTCGTAAACGTAGTTCCGTCAAAATAAGGAAAAAAAGTACCAGTACCATTTTACTCGACTGCCAAGGAAGAGTTATGTTTTTCGTGCATATCTTGTACGAGTATATATGTGTGTATTATTCTTTATTACCTCATACCTTGCAAACTGCTGCTCGGATTTATTTACATAACATGTCGTCAGATTCCTCTTGGTAACCAAAGTGTTCTTAGATAGGTGACGCGAAAAAAAAAACAACATGAGGACTGTGAAACGCTATAGTTTAAAGTAAAAAAAGTTTTAGTTTTGGATACTGCTCCAAAGGTTGCCTGTAAGAGATTGCTTTTTAGCGATAAGGCCGCCATTTGTACATGGTCATTAACTTGGAATACTATTGTATGTATAATATCCTGAATTGGTGTACAATAAAGATTATCTATTCTATTCCATTCTACTTTTATATGGGTTTCATATTAAAGGCGGGCAATGGAGATTTTAAAATGGTATATCATGATAATATTTTAATTTAGAAAAATATTTTAATTTGAATGCATTACTTTTAAATTCCCCTCTTGCAGTCAGGTTTTTGGTTTTTTAAATTATTACTTGTTAATTATTACGTGCTCAACCGGAGTGATACCATGGCATCACACAGAATCTATGTTAAAAGTACGGGTCACTTAACCACGCACCGCGGCCTGCCAGGTATGATCACCTCGCCTGGTCGGAGGATCCTCCCTTTGTGTTGGAGGAACCTGACAGCCGTTCCTCGTCAATTCTTGTTTAATACACACATAGTTTGACGAACCTGTCGGTCTAGCGGTTAGTGACCCTGACTGCTAAGCCGTAGGCCGTGGGAGTGATTCCCACCCAGGACTAATATTGTGTGATGAGCACGGTCATTTGTTCTGTGTCTGGATGTAATTTACCTATGGCATGTATGTATAGTTACCATAGTACAGGCTAAGCAGGCAGCAGGCAGTACAAGGGATCAGACGGCCGTGTGTGAGATGTGTAAAGTACATTCACATCATCACATCAACAGCCTTTAATAGTCCAGTGCTGGACAGAGGCCTCCCCTTAGAAAGGAGGTTTTGGCCTACTATACCACGCTGGCCAGACTCGTTGGTATAGGGTTTGTGTCAAGTTGCCTTTCTCTTTGCAGTGCTGGTTTTCCTGCGTTAGCTCCCTTAAGTACATTATTATTCAAGAACTTACTGCCGCCGTCTGCTCGTTTGACCTCCTATATTAAAAAAATAAGATATATTCGTATTACACCTGTTGACGGCCGGATGGCGTAGGGTTTCTGTAACGAAGTGCTACGCCGAAGGTCGTGAGTTCGACTCCGCTTAATTCAAACATTTGTGTGCATGAATATTTAATTAAATCTGTATGTTTCTTTATATCATATGTATGTATTTACAAAACGAAGTATATATGTATTTATTTCACTTATATAGTACGAGTACCCATAGTAAAAACTCTGCTTAGTTTGGGACTAGACGGTGTTGTGTAAATGTGGTAAAATATTATATTATTATTATATATTAATAAAAATTGCCTTTATCAAATTTCACATCCATACAAATAAATAAAATTGGAGTGTCTGTTTGGAATATTAAAATAACCGCTTTTTACTAAATGCATATGTATGTTTACACGGTACATATGCCAAAATAACATTTTTTTAAATTTTTGTCTGTCTGTCGGTCTGTTTGTTCCGGGTAATCTCTGGAACGGCTGGACCAATTTCACTGGCACATAGCTGATGACATAAGGAGTAACTTAGGCTACTTTTTTTAGACTCCCCGCGGCGTTCCCCGCAGTTATAACAACAAACGCGGGTAACACCGCGGGTCTCAGCTAGTATTATATAAATAGGTATAAATTATTAAAATATTGCACTGTAATCTAAAAATCTCGATAAACATCCTTATGATCCCTAATACAGATACTTGGAGTATGTTTCATGGTCACTTCATACCAAAGTGGCAACGGTCAGTAGCGCAGCGGCTAACAGTTTCCCTGTCGTACCACTTTCACCTTTATCACTAGAACAGAAAGCATAGTACTGTTTGAAAGACGCGTGTCAGACGATGATAGAGCGAGCAGCCTCTTTACACTGGTGGATTTCAAACGATACTACGTATTATATTATTGTAATAGAGCTCAAAATGGTTTGACATAATTTATAACAGCTGCTACTTCAAGGTCACGTGCGAAACGACCCTTACTTACTACACAAAAGTACAGCCCCAATTAAACAAACTTCGAAGTTAAATACATAATATAAATACAGCCTACTAAAATAAGGATTTCGTTACACTATGGCGAGTTGGTACCAAAATAGATTTATATTTTTAGAATATCCAATCTAAAAGGAGTAGATAAGGCACCTGATGGCAAAGGATTACCGCTGAACATAGACACCTGAACCTTCCCCCCTACCCAGTAATATCTTTAACAGTCCACTGCTGGGCATAGGCTTCTCCTTAGGAGGTTTTGGCACACTATGCAACGCTTATCAGACAGGTTGGTACAGGGTTTGTTTCAAGTTTGCCTTCTCTTTGTAGTGATGTTGTCATGCGTAGTTTGCTCCCTTAGTCGGCTTTTACGACACCCACGGGGTGAAAACGGGTGGTGATTAGCTTGAATATAATTATTAAGATGCGAATCTGTGTGATTTTCGGCCGTTAACAGATTTCTGCTCTGGAAATAATTACACCTTACAAAAGACGGCGTCAAACAAATACGTTTGTATCACAAAATTATATTGCTTCCATATTGAATATTAAATAATTACTCTACACATTATTAAAGAAGAACTCTCAATAAATGTGTTAGATTCATACACTAATTATAGTAATTATTAAAACACCCTTAAAATACAAAATTAATTCAATCACTATTTATGAATAAGATTTATCTTGAATACTAGTTATCTTTTAAAGGGAAAGTATCGTGTTGCAATCTAACTATTACCTGGCTAGCACTCCGCGCTATAGGTATGAATCTATAAGTACGTGGCAGGCATCGACGCGTCGTACTTATTCATAGGGATTGCTTACGCTGATAGGTTAGATTTTCAACTCGAAGCAGTCTGTATCAATATATATACATCTGTTAATTATAATGAAACTTGCGATTCGCCCCGACTTCTCACACGTGCAATGTAGATACTTCTAATGTGGTGTTAGTGTGGAGTAATTAATTATACTATTATTATGATAGGACCACAACTACAGGACATATTTATTTGCAATATTTATAGGCCCGCTCCACTCCTGCCAGCCGCTGTCACCCGGGATGGATGTAAGGTTCGAAATTTTAAATCTCTGATATCTTCTAAGATAGTAGATATGCTTTAAAAAGCAATTTTGATCTACATCAAATGCACAACGTATCTAACGTATTTATTTGGATTAGGTGTAATACGGTATTTTTTGAAATAGCTTCGTAAATAATCCATTATTTTTTTGTAGTATAAAAGATAAAATAAAAATACAAATAATAAGACAGAAATAGTTGCTATGGGTTGTTCTTAGGATATAGACATATACATTTTGTATATCTTTTTAAGATATACAATTCCGTAGTACATTATTTTGGTCTATCTCGGTTAAAGAGCGTTTGCAATGTAAACGCACAAAAACCGGTTTTTAAGACCTCATATTACAAATCATTGAAATTCTCGGATTTCCTCTGCTATAATATGCACGTATTATACATCAGCTTAACTAAGGTAACTAAGTTTTCCTCATTTCCAATGAATATCAGTCGTGGACCGCCTGCAACCGGGTGTTTTCCTACCTTCGGTTGCAGGCTTCACGAGCACGTTGCCTCACCCAGGACTGGAGCTGGTTGAAAGGCAGTGGCAATAATGTAGATAGACCAGCAGCTGGTGTAGCTAAACCCCGTCTTGCCAGCTCATCTATAGTGCCATTCCCGTGTGAATTGGTATACCCTTGAATCCATTGGAGAAGTGCCCAATTTATTGTGGCTAGCTGCTCCAAAGCTTGATAGCATTCAAGTTAAGATTAGACTATGCAATCATAACAGCAGACAGCTCTTAAGTTAATACACGCCCACTTAAGATATAGACCTGCCCCTCAATGCCACGTAAGATTACAACACTCTTAGATTACATTACACATATCACATCAACAGTCTTTACTAGTCCACTGCTAAACATAGGCCTCTCCTTAGAAAGTAGGTTTCGGCCTACTATACCACGCTAGCCAGATGGGTTGGTTTAGGGTTTGTTTCAAGTTTTTTTTTCCGGATGTCTTAAAAACAGCTGTTCCCGGATCCCTCCTGTTACAGGCGCAGAGTGGCACACCGTGTGGTTTTAGTCGGTCCGAGTCCGACACACCACCCCGCCGCAAACCCCGGAGGGGTGAAGGTCCGAGGGGATATCCACACGTTAAAAAAACAAAAAAAAAGGGTTTGTTTCAAGTTTTCCTTCTCTTTGCAGTTCTGTTGACCTGTAGTTTATTCCCTTAGTCAGCTCTTACGACACCCACGGGATGAAGAGGGGTGGAAACATTCCGTATTCTTAATCCGTCACCACACGGATAACCTACCTAGACGTAAATCTAGTCGTGGTCAGTCGTAAATGTAATTTGATCACTTCTTATCCAGTTTCGATAGACGTCCTCTATTCCTCCATATTGATACTGACGTTGATTTAGAAATACAATATTAACATTATTCAGGTTCCTTTCTCAACTAGAACTTGATACATAAATACAATCTCTCCAATAATATTAGATATGTTGAACCACACTAATAAGATTTGGTCTGTTTCAGGTACCGACCCAAATCTTTGATGGCCTGAAGGTTAATCGTGAAAGTGAATAAGTATTAATTCTCTTATAAGCATAAGTAGATATCAAACTGCTGTAGAAACTAAATAATTTTGTACTGGTTTTAATTGAGCAAGGCACGGATGGCGTAGCTTCCTATTGTTCCTATTGCACCGAGTGTTGTGGGTTCAAACCCCACATGGGACAACACTTTGTGTGATCCATAAATTGTTGTTCTGAGTCTGGGTGTACTTTGTGTCCGTTTCATGTATGCCTGTAAAGTCCCCCCTGACACAGGTTTTATTCCTAGTGCGGGAGTTGTCGTTTAAAATATAAGAAAATATAAGACAATTAACTAGAATTACTTGTCAATATGAGAAGTATTCGAATACTTAGAAATAATTAAATAGGTCACTAATGTTAGTTGTTTATGGATTATTCAAAATAACACAACAAACTTTCAAAGACATTTTTAAACAGAGAGAGAGAGATGGAATAAATAGCTCGACTGTCTGTTAAACAAATTGTCACAAAAAAATCCTTTATGTGGAAAACTGTCACAAAATTATACTCTACCGTTAGTTAAACAGATATTTCGCATTTTAAAGTAACATGTTTGATTTATGCGCTGTTAGAGCTTCACTAACGCTAACCCTCCTATCCTTGACTGCGGGTACACTGTCATCTCTCTGTCAGGTAAATAATTTCTCTGTTTTCACACACATTAAATACATTTGGTACAATGAACTTACTAGTATTCCTTCAAGCACTTTTCTGACAACATTCTAGTCATATTCCACAAGTCATTTCCTTCTAATGTTACCTTTCGCGTGCCATTTAACTCAGAAAGTAAAATAGATGTGTGGGCTTCAACAAAAGCTTCATAAGTTTTTAAACTTCCTTATTGAAGTTCCAAGCGGCTGTCGGTGGACAAGTCGGTGTCGCACGCGTGGCTGCAGACAGGCGAGGCGTGGCGCGACCTGCGCGTGCTCGAGGCGCGCGTGGGCACGCGCTACCTCACGCACCCCAGCGACGACGCGCGCTGGCCGCCGCCCGAGCCCACAGCCCCCGAGCCCTCCGCCCCCCGGCCCTCCGCGCCCGACCAGCGCTGACTATCGCAGACTAAACCTTCCGAGGAGGAAGACCGCCCGCGCGCCTCGACGGATCTGGGCGTCGGGACTCGTCGGAAGGATCTCCTCGTCCGGGTCCGCTACGCGCCCCCGCCCCCGGCCCTGCCTCCTCACGCCTGAGCATTAACCGTACCGAGCGACGTGCCAATCGACACCGATCGACCGTGCCTTTTGATATTTTAAAACGTTTATACCGCCATTAATGACAATAGTGAGAACTTCACTACGCAATGAAATTATATTAATGTGATGCTCCACTCAAATTGCACAAACGATTGTACAAAACATGATTTTATCGCATAATAATAATTATGTAAATTTTCATATTTACATTTAATACATGACATTATATTATATTGTTGAATAAATTTACTAGTTTTTTTTTGTGTACCTACAGGTACACAGGTAAGATTTTGGGTTGACGTTAAGAAAGGGTGAAAGGATTCGGGGTTGTCAAACGTATCAATCTTAAATATTCATCGAAACTTCTAAAGATTTTATTTTACCTTTATGGCATATAATTTAAAGTAACCAGGGGTCCACCACGTTGTTGTAAGCTGTTTGCAGCCATTAAATACAAATGTATAGACAAAGCAGGGCTAGATTATACTGCTAGTATTCTGTTATAATTAAAAATGTGTGTAAGCAGTGTTATGAAAATAGAATTGCCTTTTTTACGTATGGAAACCCCTTACGTGTGGAACTCGTTTATCCACCACATCACAGTCATCATGTGGATTCAGTCTTTTTAGGATTCCGTATCTCAATAGGAAAAAACGGAACCCTTATAGGATCACTTTGTTGTCCCTTCGCCCGGACGTCTGTCTGTCGATTAAGACCCTTCATCTCAGGAACACGTGGAGGCATCGAGTGGAAATCAAAACGATGTATTCAGGTCTACAGTCTTTTGAAGCTGTGAAGAAATCAAACTTCTAAGTTTACGTAACAAAAAGATACGGCCGTTTATACTCGTACCTCAAAAAAAGCATATTTCGACACTCTCAAGGGAATCAAAATCCCTGGGGTAGGTACTTTCGGTTTGAGCACGCCGTCATCGCGGCGGTAAGACCCGTTATCCGCACCAGGGACTTCATTTCTAGGGTATACCTGGTTCCCCGGCTATTAGTACCCGAGACGGCGTGCGGTTTTAGTCGGTTCGAGTCCGACATGCCACCGACAGGTGGTATCCGAGGGGATTTCTGCACGGAAAAAAAAAAAAAAGGTTACTTTCGGTTGACCTGGAACTATAAAATTTGGCAGTTAATACCGTCTTATACCACAAGTATAGGAAAAAATCTGAAAACTATATATTTGCAATTAAATCATTAAAAAACAGGGTCTTTACGCAAGGAACGTCGCGGCGGCGGTCCAAATTTTCAATTGAGTTAACCGTATCATGTGGGGTATCGTATGAAAGGGCGTCATTGAAATAAGCTTAAACAGATTTTTAATTATTTTTATGATGTATAGTTTTCGATTTATGACGAACAATGAAATAAATAACTACAATTTTTTTTACGGAACCTTCGCTGGGCGAGTCCGACTCGCACTCGTCCGGTTTTTCTTTAGTTACCTAGCTGAATAATAAAAAAGAAAACTTCTTGAATCAAATAATCAGAAAGAAATGCTCCTTTGTGCCTGCCTGTAATGTAATGTAATGTAATATATTCGCATTTCGTTGAGGTGCTTTTAGCAAATACATTCGGTACGTATATTAATCGAACAATGTTCGTATGCCGATACGGTAGCAAAAACGATGGAATCAGCCTTTAGGAAATTAAATCTGTTCCAGGCTTCCTCGAGACTTTACATTTTAATGTAGGTCGCAATTACACCCAACTGTAACGGATGAAAGAAATAAAATTGTTATTAATAGGTGTCGTAAAAAGATTTAATTGAAAGAAATCTTGGCAGTAATTTTTTAAATAATTTATTTTTATTTGTACGAATATATATTTTATATTAAAATAGTAAAAAAAACCTTGTATACTTTTTTACCATCAAATTAATTATCTTATTTGAAATGTTTTAATTATTATGGATTCATACATTAGAATATATTTTGCTTTCAAATTTTGTCTACTATTGAACAGTGTTTCCATGTTTGTTTTTTATAATCTATAACTCATAATACATTTTCGAATATTACCATTAGGCAATTTCCAAAAAAAAAAACATGAAATGAAATTGGTATGAAAGTTGTTAAAAATGTTTATACGAGTAGAACTTCAACGGGTAAAATTATACATATTTATTAGAATAATTACACCTATTAATAAGGCCTTGTATATTTAGCGGGTGGACTACTTGTAAATTATTTGAAATATATTTAAAAATATTTAAAAATTTAAAAAAACATTGCTTTCCATGCTAAATTTGATCCACAAGTGAACCACAAGTAGGAAGAGTTTACAATTGTATATATCATTTTTATATGCAACTGCGACTTAATTATCATGATATCAGTGCGACAACAAAGGTGGGCTCAAAATTAGTACTGAGGTGCCATCTATCCACCACAGTGCACAATGAAGGTCCATCTATTTTTTTAAACAAGGCGTACAATTCATAGGCAACATTCAAGGTTTTTTATGATACATAGGTTGATAAGTATTAGTTGATAAGTACTAACATATATATTTTTTCTTGTTGACGACCGGATGGCGTAGTGGTTTGTGTAACGGACTGATATTACAAATGTCGCGGTTTCGATTCCCGCTCAAGTCAAACATTTGTGTGCATGAATATTTAATGTTTAATTTGGTCTGGGTGTTTCAATGTATAATAAGTATGTATTTACAAAAAAAATAAAAGTATAATATGTATTTATATCAGTTGTCTAGTACCCATAGTGCAAGCTCTGCTTAGTTTGGGACTAGATGGCGTTGTGTGAATGTGGTAGAATATTATTATTATTATTATTAACATAGTTATTATAAGTAGAATTTTATAGAAGCGTGGTTGGATACGTGGCACATTGACGTGTCATGTCAATTCTGTCAGATATGAAAGATTGACAGAATGAAAAATGTTGCCTTTATCGAACCTTACTTGATTTTTAGTTTCTTTGTGTATGCTGTGATTTATGAAATAAATACTATTCTATTCTATTTTATTCTAAATAATATTTACAAAAATATCCTTCGTTTTTTTTATTCTTCATGCAACATACTAAAATCTCCTTACTTAATATAACTTAATTAGTGAAAAGAAAAACTGCTATTGTTCACTCCGGTGTAACAGGCAGCCTTGTATAATGTGTTTTTCGTGAAAGCCCGCGTTGAACGGTTCGTATTAAATGATGTGAGAAGAATTATCCTCATCTTTTTCCATCGACTAGCTATCCCGCTCACTCAGCAGCCACATGCTATTTTTGGAAGCCTGCTAGAAGAGTTAAGCAATATTTTGTACAAAACTAATAAAGGGAAAGCTTTTTCTGTAGGGTACTTGGGTTTGAAATTTTAAATCGTCATTAGTAAATATATGTTTTCTTAAATACAGTAAATAAATTCAATTAAAATATTAAATTGTGTTCATTATATACGGCAAGTTTGGAGTGATATTTCATCTATCAAGGTCACGCTTTGAAATTATTTCGAAAACAAAAATAAAACCCTCAAACAAGGACTCAAAGGGCGACTGCGCCCTTGTGACTCTTGCACTTGCAGGTATCCATCGTTAGAGGTAGTTACTTAACATCAGGTAACCCATCTGCTCCTTTGCCTTATGCTATAAAAAACACCACTGTGACCTGTACGTGTTCACCTCGCCTGATTACAGAATCCTCGCTTTGTGTGGGAGGGACTGTGTTTAGCACTCACTCCTCCACATTTATTTTCCTACGTTGTTTCAAAGAAACCACATACTCGTTATAAATATCAAGTAACAAGAAACTTGCGTTATTTATTTCATAAAATTACTCAACAAATTGTATTTTTGTACTAAGTAGAAATAATAGGATTTACTTACCATAAATCTACTTAAGTGGGAAATCTTAAGAGATTATGGTTTCTATTTCGTTATTACTTCAAAAGGAAGGAAAAATGTAAATTAATTAATTTTGGACTTTATTATCAAAACTGTTGGACTAGTGGTTAGTTACCCTGACTGCTAACACAGCGGTTGTGGGTTCCATTCCCACCAAGGACAAATAAAATACTCGTGTGATGAGCAAGATCATTTGTTCTGCGTTTGGGTTTTATTTATCTATAGTATTATGTATACATTAAAGTATGTTTACAAGCAATCTAGTTATCATAGTACAGGCTCTGCCTTTTTTTTTTTTTTACGTGTGGAAATCCCCTCGGACCGTCACCCCACCGGGGTTTGCGGCGGGGTGGTGTGTCGGACTCGGACCGACTAAAACCACACGGTGTGCCACTCTGCGCCTGTAATAGGAGGGATCTGGGAACAGCTGTTATCAAGACATCCGGACCCCTCCTAGCGCCGGCCCGCTCCTGTTGCGGGCTCCGTCTCAAAAAAATTTTTCCTCTCTTTAGGCGACGTCCGGCACACGCGGACGCCGCCCCCTCGCGGCTGGCCAAACTAACGTACAGGCTCTGCCTAAATTGACCCAGACCCAATATATGAACCCAGATGTGTGAAGTTATTAGCATTATGTCTACACGCGTCTGTGTCAGTATTCCTCCAAGTCTTTTGCCCACTCTAAGTTGGGGTCGGTTTTAAATCTACTACGACAGGCTGAACTTCGAATTTTTACTTGCATCGATTACCATCTCAGGGACTCCACAACCCAAGTACTAGGTAATATCAAAGTTCTGTGGAAAGAGTGTTGTCGGACTCTGTAGTACTCCAACTGCCCGTGACGATTGCCACAAATGTTCGTATGGCAACCAGGACCGACGGCTTCACGTGCTCTGAGAGACACGAAAGGATTTCAATATGTTAAGAATGGTTACTCATCCATAGACTGACCTGGCTATGATTGCTTAACTTTTCAAGGCCCCGCACGAGCCACCGAA